AGGTTTGCAAGCCTGTTTAGCATCGAAGTTACAATCAAGGGCTCTGGCTCCAGGTGACTAAGGCTTGAATCCTGCCGCCTGCCTTGAATCCTGCCTTTACCATATTACAGCTGTCGGCAACTTACTTAACTGGGTTGCCTCATTTAATTTTTTTAAAGATTTTATTTATTTATTTTTAGAGAGGAGAAGGGAAGGAGAAAGAGTGAGAGAAACATTGATGTGTGGTTGCCTGTCATGCGCCCCCTACTGGGGACCTGGCCCACAACCCAGGTATGTGCCCTGTACTGGGAATTGAACTGGCAACCCTTTGGTTCGCAGGCTGGCACTCAGTCCACTCAGCCACACCAGCCAGGGCAGGTTGCCTCATCTTTAAAACAGGAATAAAAATCCTACCTGTGTTCTGGGGTTCTTGTGAGGAATAAATAAATAAATTTACCTAAGACTCTTACAAAAATAACTCCATAGTAAGCACTTATTAAAATTTAGTTTTCCTTTTTAGGGGATGGGAAATACCATATTTTCCATGAGCAGTCTTCCTGGACTATATATCAGTTAGCTATTGCCATAATAATGTCATGTAGAAAACACTCTGAAATATAGCTTAGAACAGCGATTTTCAACTTTTCATCTCATGCACACAAAAACTAATTACTAAAATTCTTCGGCACACCAAAAAATATATTATACTTTTTGCCAGTCTGACAAAAAAATAGGTATAATTTTGATTAATTCACACCGGACAGCTGTTGTTGTGTTGGCTGTTGGCATTTTTAAAAATTTAACAATCTAAGGGAAAAAGATATCAGTGTCCCTGAATAAATAGCCAGGTATTGCATGTTTTAAAAGTTCTTGTAGCACACCGGTTGAAAATTGCCTGCTTAGAACAATGATTTATTATGGCTCTTGCAGTTGTGGGTTGGCTGGGGCTTGGCTGATCTAGACTGGACTTGACTGAGCAGGTGTGCTTCAAGCTGTGCCCTGGCTGGGCATGCAGTTTGGATTTACGCTGGGGCAGTTCTTCCAAAGGCAATGGCAGAGCTGGAAGGAGTAAGAGGAAACCTGCAAGGCTTCTTAAGGCCTGACCTTCCTCCAGCCAAAGCCAGTCACAGGCAAGCCTGGAATCAAGGGGCAGGGGAATACAGAGATCCCCATTAGTGGGAGGAGCTTCCAAGTCCCTTGGTGAGGTGCATGAACACAGGCAGGGGTGAAGGATGGCAACCAAAAATGTGAGGTGTCACAGGCTACACCAGTGTGTTCTGTAAGTGCGGCTTTGTTACTTCTATGAGAAAGCTTCCATGGGGGGCAGAGTCAGCATTTGGCATGGGCAAGCCTAAAAACCCCAGGCATCTGCCTTCAATCGGTGACCTTTCTGCATTGGTCCCAATGTTGATGTTTAGACCTTGCAAATGCCTTTCTCCTGCTTCTCGGAGTCTTTGGGGGGGGGGGGGAACTGCACATTTTAGGGGAAAATGCGTTGGTGTGGGTTTGAATTTAGACTCTGTGCGATGAAATGGAGTAGTCCCCTCCAGTTCTGCTCGTGGGAAAGATTGGCGAGGAGCAGAGCAGTCCCCGCAGCAGAACTCTGTAGCCCCTTTCGGGCTCACCAGGCTGCACTGACTTTCTGAACATGGTTTGTAGCAGGTGTGAACTATTATGATAAGGCTTACTGTTTAAATCCAAGAATAAGGTATGCGTTTGTTTACATGTGTTTTTGGATACGTGTCTCCCGGTGCAGTGGAACTGCATTCTTTCTGGGCCCCTGGCATTTGCTTTCTACTCTCTGGGAACCTCCTGTGAGGCGTGCCCGGCTGTCCCATGGACACCCCTAGGCAAACACTGGGAGAGGGGAGGGAGAGAAACCCTGGTTAGTATTTATTAGTATGTAACTCTGCTCTCTCCTCCCAGACTCCCCTGGGCTTGGGAGTAGGATGGGGACAGTGATGGGAGGAGTCAACTCTGATCACTTTGCCAGCATGTAAGATAATCTCTCTTCTCCACCCCGGCTCCTCCTGCTGCAGGACAAACGTATCCATTCTTCTACAACAGAAGGGAGAGAGCAGGGGCAGGGTGGGCATTCTTGTAAGTTAGGCTTTTCTCTTTCATATATGAACATAGGATATTATGAAATTAAATATCAAATTTTTAACATGCTTGTTCTTTGTTAGATTAAAAATTAAGCAAGAGCTCTAAAATTACACTTAATAATTAAGTGTAATATTAAATCGAGCAATTGTTTTAGAGATGGGGAGGGAATACATTCTAGAATTTTTTGGTAACAAAAACAGCACTGGAAATAGCAAGTAAAGCATATGTTTGTAAGCTGCTCAGTAAATTGTAGCATTGCTGACGATAGTGCTCTCTCTAGTTCATTTATTTTTGGAGGGGATTGCAAGGCTGAAGCCTCTGTTGGCTGCCTTGCTCCAGAGGAAGCTCCCTTGCTCTGCCCTCCCTGCAAGGAAAGCAACAGGGAAATGAACCCAGAAAAGCTCAGGTTCTAAAACCAAGCCAAGTATATACCTCAGAAGTTAGAATTTTTTTTTCCCTTAATGTGGTTGCTTCTAAGAGGCACAATTCAAAATACTCACTGCAAGAGTAGACATGCTGAAATCCTAATGGTGCAATTCTATTTTGTTGAGTCAAAAAATAGGGCTGGATAATATTGAGTGGTAGCTATGCAAATGCAGAGAAAGATCATCACATCTTGTGCTTCAGGGTGAGCTGATTGCAGAAACCTGTCCATACTACTTAGTAGGGAGGATTAAGTCAGATGAAAGCTTTCAGTGATATATGTTCTTTTTCTTTTTTCTTAAGCACCATTTATGGCTGAAATACTAAAAGAGTGGTTCCATTGGCAGCCTTTAGGTGTTCGCTGTGGGCAAGGCTTAGCAAAGAGGTAGCTGTGAGGATTGCAGATAGGTCCTTCCCACTTCTCTTCCCTTCCCTTCAATTCCTTTTCTTCCTTCTTTGTTTTCCTTCCTCCCTTCCTGCCTGCCTTTTCCCATTGAGAAACACAAACTTTGCTTTTTCAGGAGCCTAAATATTAATGGGAATGGCAAGATGTAGACATTAGAAACTGAAAAAAAAACCACAAACAAATGCACATTTGTATAGTACATATTGTATGTGGTAGATTTCTAATATATCTGGAGGAAAAAAGTCAATAGAGTAAAAATGATGGTTTTAAATCTTGATTTAATCAAACAATGAATTCTTCAATTTCTTTTAGATTTTTCAGGTCAAGTAGTGTTATTTCCAGGTGAGTCAGGGTTAGAATAATATTGCCACCCAAGACGTAGCCCCTCCCCATCAAATAGGCAGAGAATTCAAATAGTAATTGGTGACTCAGCTACCATATACTTATACACCCTACAATTACTTTCTCAAAGCCTTCTACTGACTAGGAAGACTGATTTTAAACAGGAATTATCGCTGAGCTGCCTGGTGCCCCACGGAAGATGACATGGCTTGATGATGATTGTTTGATTTGTTTCATAATCTCTTACTGAGATTTCTTACAAAACTATAATGTATATTTGGGTTTTACTTTGGGGTTCTTGTACTTTATATTGAAAAAGTGAATTAGAATGGTTTCCTAACTACATACAACACAAAGGTGCTAAAGTTTTCAAAATAAGGCAATGTAGAAGAATTATTTAATAGATTTTTAAACAAATTGTTTGGATATAATATCAGTTTGGACTCCACCAAACATACCATATTCCAAAAATAAACTCCAAAGAATTGAATATTGCAAATTAAATTACAGAAAAACTAGCAGAAACTATTAGGTCTGCATAGAAACAAGAATATTTATGGCTTTAAAACAAGAGAAGCAACCAGTGAAGGAAAAAAATGAACAGATTTAAATATATTAAAATTTAAAACTTCTATACAAATGAAGGGACAAGAGACTGGGAAAATTTGCATTAACTTGTGATGCAAATTATTAATATGGGTTATAACTTCAATATGTAGCTTACTCAGATGTATAAGGGCTGAGACCCTAAAAGATAGATGTAAAATATAATAGCTTCCATTTGTCGAATATTTTTCTGTGCCCACACAGATATACAAAATCAGATTATACTGTTGTTTTGTGTGTAGAGTGTTTTATAGCCAGTTTTTCTCACATGTCCAGACTATGTTACTAACTAGTCTTCTAAAACATGGTTTTCAGTGGTTGCAAAATATTTCATTGGTAAGGAAGTACAGCCCCATTTTGCGTAAGTTTTCAGTGCTGGAGATTAAAGTTATGGAAATGTAATAAAGTGATCTCTCATACCAGGGTCTGTTGTTAGGGGTGTGGCAGTGGAAAAATACATCCCACTGATAGAAACCGAATGATTTAGAAAGAAGCATATCTGATACTGTTTTTTATCAACAATTTTATAGGTGGCATTTGCCACTGAAACCTGTTTTAGCAAAAGAGGAGAAACCATTTGAGATCCCATGCCTTTCACAACATGTCATCAGTTTTCTTTAAAGGCCTTGTAAAAGAGACATGCTAATTATCATTTCTGCAAGCATCTCTGGATAGAGATGACTGTAGCATTATGTTAGGGCACTTTGTCACGCATGTCATTCTCTTATCTTGCTTTTATGGCAGAGGAAATAAAGGCACTAGAGAAACATCTTTGAGGTCACACAAGTTAACAGCAGATAAACATGAGCCCTGGCAGCTCTGAAATTCCCACTGCATGTAATTAGTTCACTGCGGGCAGGAATGGCAGCACTGGGGATAAATGGCAGTTGTGGTGTTTGGTGTCCTGGAGGCTGGTGGGAATTCTGTGCTCTCCTGAATGGGCAACGAGGGTTCTCACTGCACAGACTTGGAGGCCTCCCAGCCAGGCACCGTCTTCCTTAGGAAACACACGGGCACCTGTAGCGTTCTGATGGGCTGTCGAGGGCGCGGCCATTGGGTGTGGCCTGAGTGATTTCTTAGGTGTTGCAGTATTTTACTGAGGTTTTATGGGGTGTCTGATTGTGGTTTTCATCTTTAGCTCCTGATGACCCCGAGGTGGCTGGGACAGTGAGGTTGAGAGTGAAAGGGCGGAAACTGTTTTGACTTGTAAGTGGTTCACTCTCATTCCCCGCACGCCGAGGTTCTCAGAGTCACCTGGTAAGTGCTTGGTCAGCTCATCTTTTTTTTGTCTCCTTATGACTGATAGATACTGAATTCATGGACTGTCTCCTATTCTTAGGCATCTAACACAATCATTGTAGCAAAAAATGTGGTCTCTGAAAACTACCGCCAGGAGATTCAATATGTTTATGGACAATTCTAGTGAGTCCAGGAGCAGTCTGCCAAGTTGGAGACAAAGGCTGGTTCTCTTGGGTTGCTTTAACAAACTCATTAGGTCCTGGAACCATGACGATCGTCATTTTACCGAGTCCCTTTCAAGGATGTGAGTAAATCTTTAATCACTAAGGGTAGGCTAGGGAGAGGTGGATCAGTGTCCCTGCTTTAGAACTTTGAAAGAGGGTGGAATTGTGAGTTCACTTCCCTGTCTGCTCAGTCTAGAATGAACTTGATATGGCTTCCTAAAAGAACACAGACTGGATGCTGCTCACTTTCTGCTGCATCAAACCCAGCTACTAAAACTGGGGGGCCATTGCTTGGCAGCCCCAGTGCCCCCTGAGAGCTTGGGAGCCAGCTCCGTCACCTGTGTTCCCACACACTGTCCAAGCGGTCCTTGTGCATGCTCAAGTTTGAGAAGTACTGGCATGTAACATGTGACTCCTTTAACTGCTAAACGGACCTTGATCAGTGGTGAATGCTTCTTCCTGATCATATTTTGTACTTATACATTTATGACCCTTAACAAAAAATTTCAGTCCTTTGACATTTTAATAATTTAACTATCTTTTAGAAGTTATTAGTATAAATTACTATATTATCATTATGAAAGCTTCAGAAAATATAGAAAAATTAAAAAAGCAATCTACCCTTCAAGTACATATATTGGTAACATTTTAAAGGTACATTTTCTCCCTGTTTTTTTCCCTGTGCATGATTTTTTAAAAAATTTGTTTTTCCTGATTTGTAGAAATTATATATGATCTGTGTAGAAAATCAATAACATGAGAAAAAGCACAGAACAGAGACTGGAAACCATCCTATATATTTAGGTTTGGGGTTTTATGTAGTGTAATAAAGTGGGACTTTATCATCTTTGCTTCTGTCCTTTGGTTGGAGAGGATCCTCTGATAATCTTTGTTTTTTGTTTTTATGCTGCCTATAATTTCTGTTTCTCTATTATTTTTTGTAATTTAAAAAGATTCCTGGTGTAATTATTAATGCCTCAGATAGTTATTTTATAGTCAGAATTAGGAATTTATTAACTTCTTTGTGCAACTGAAAAATTGACTACTCACTGGTGGGACATGTTCTATATTTTATATTAATCGTCTTTGGCCAGAAACTTCCTGAAGGGGAGAAAAGCCTTTACTTTTGAAGGATGCATGGCCACCCTCCTTTTAATTTGACAGATTGATTGTCTTCTGGAGGGGAAAGGGAGGGACTGGTTAGATTGACAATCACTAGAGGAAGTCCTTATTTTCTTTGGTCAGTTGCTTAGAAACTTCTAGATGGTTGGGGAACACCACTGCAAGGAAGCTGTTTTTTGTTTCTTGAGCTCTTTGCTTAGACTGGAAAAATGCAAGACAGAATGAATCTTGATTCGAGTCTCTGCTTCCACATGTGATTTTTAACATCCATTGAACTGGCTTGATGTTTAAGAATAGCTGGTTGTGATTTGTCTGCAACATTTTGCCAGGCTTTGTTCCGGAATATTTCATTGCCCTTGATAACGCAGACTGTGTCATGTCAAATGAGGAATTCCGTGCATTTCTATGTCCATGGGCTAGACTCCACTTCCAGTTGTTTCAAGAGAAATTGATGCAATTTTCCAGTCAGAAGAACACAGTTCAGAATCTAAAGTAATGATGACTATTTTCAAAGCTTCAAACTTTACTTGCCTCATTTAGAGACCATTAAGAGGGATTCCGTGTATCGGTACATTTCTAAAAATTTGAAATGAGGTCCCTAAAAATTCTCTCCCTTCTCTCCGGCCTCCTCACACTGTTCTGGATCATCTCTTCTGAAAACTCACTTTTACTCCTCAACTCCATACCCTTCTGAAGTTCTAGGCACTTCCCTCAAACTTCTTCACGTGTGAATCCCTTTAGCCCATTGACTTCTTTTAGATTTTTTTCTGGTAACTTCCAAACCAGGAGAGCCACAAAATGATCCGGCAACATTTTTTGTGGGTGGGGAGGTGGGCGTGGCCCCAGTAGAACCTGATGGTGTAAGACTGTGACTACTTGGCCATTAATAATAATAGCTGTTTTTTTTGTTACACAGGCTTCAGGGTATTCCCTGTAGTCCATACTTGTCGACTTGGCGACACAGACTGTGTGTTCTTAAGAACAGTGGAGTCACTACAGTAAGTTGTTTAGAATCTGTTTTGAGTATTTGTTAATTAGAAAACTGTTTTTGTGATGCATGAGTCTGGGGTGACCAGGATTGAACTGCATTGGTAGGTAGCAGATCTTCAGGTACCACCCCAAACCCTGTTGTGTCTTAGACCTTGGCTGATAACATCTTATTCATGCTGAGAAGCTGGTTGGGCAGGACACAGGTGCGGTCTGGATTAGCCAGCTTGACTTTTAAATTTGCTAAAGACTTTAAAGCATTACATGTTGGAAAAAATGTGCCTGTGATAAATTTCAATGCTCCAGACTCCCGCAGTTCCACATTATTCTTTTTAACCAGCACGATGTTTTTTTGTAGCATCGTTGCATGTCCAGGTGCCCATGGTGCTGCCCTGTGTTCTCTTTTGTGTTATCTGGTCCCAGCCCCACATATGGGAGCTTACACTCAAAACCACACGCCGTTTTCATTTTTACTAATAGGAGCTTAGGGTTTTTCCCTAGGCAGATATGTTGGCTTGCTGCATAACTTTTTTTTTTTTTTGGTAAAGGGCAGGTTGTTTGCTTGAAATATGGAGACATACATTTTTGGAAAAGTAACCACTGGAGACTTTTGAGTAGATGAAAATTTAGTAAATATGTGGTCTTTCTGTGCTTGATAAAAAGGCTTACGGTTTTGAAGGAAAGTTCTGTGTGGTCTTGCTTCCTGGGGCTCTCGGACCTTATTTCTTGCCTCTCTCCCTGTGAACATTAGGTTCCAGCCCCGTTGGTGTCCTCGATGTTTCCCAACATGCCAGCCGTGCTCTGCCACAGAAGACAGATGTCCACTTGGACATTTGCACAGAAGTCTTCCCTGCTCGGAATGCTCTTTACCATTTATCTGCAAGGCTGGCTCCCACTCCCTTGAGACTCAGATGTGAGTCCTCGCTGATGTTCTTGGCCGCCCACCTGTAATTTCAGTCCCTCTCTTTGGCCCTGTGACATTTCATAGTCTGCTTTCCTATTTTGTTTTTTGCTTTTTGTTTTTCTCTCCTCCTTAGCATTTACTATCTAACAGTATAAATTTTTCTTATTTAACTTATTAGTATTTCTGTCACTGAACTGCAGCCTTCCTGAAGACATGGTAGGGATTATTTCCTCTCGTATTCCCAGTGTCTAGAATAGTGTCTGGACCATCATATAAATAATCTGTCATCATATAGTACTCGATAAATAACAACGGGAGGGAAGGAAGAAAGGTTGTGGATGACTCTTGTTTGGCTTCTACCTGTCATCACTGACCTCCACATTTTAGATGACCCAGTGAAAGCTATCAATTAGCCTGCTCCCTGACCAAAGAACGGTCTGTGAGTTTGAGGTGAATTTTGAGTTTCCTGGGTCCTGGCAGGCCTCACAGTCGGAAATCACAGGAAGTAAACTCTGGTTAATATTTGGTTGAGACAGGCATGTTCTGTGAAACCAGTAAATGTGTCTTTCTCTCTCTGCACAGTTCTGCTATTTCATACATTTCCAAAAAGTCAACAGGTAGCCTGATTGATTTTTGGGAGGGTAAAGACAGCATATTTGCTCTGGGATAGGTAACAGGTAAATGCAATCTTTGGCACTGAGATTCCATTTTCTTTTGTCCATGGCTAAAAGGTGTGTGACTTACTTATCATTTAATACCACACTTGGCATGAGCTGCAGTGATAGGTAAGGGGTGCGAGGAGAGGGATTTTTACATAGTGATAAGATGGTGGGAATGCGAAACTAGGTTTGGCAGGGTCTGCCTGGGATTTTGCTGAGTCCACGGCAATATTTAATTACCTGTGCAAACATTCTATTCAAGATAAGGCTATAACAGTTGCCTTGGGGAAAATTCTTTTGAGTCAATATTTGTTTGATCTTTTTTATGTAGTATCTTGGCTCTGCTATTCATGTTATCGCAAAGTTCCTATAATAAATGTCATTTTCAGGGATTTGCTGTATTTGCACACCAGGTCAGTTCTGGAAGAGGTGAGGATTGGAATCACTGTTTAAACAGAGGCTCTAAGGGGTTTCAAATGAATCTTTAAAATAAAAATCCTTTGTTTCAATCACTTGACAAATAATTATTAAAAACCTGTTTAAGTACTCTGGGGGATTCCAAAATATAGGATAAACTCCTCGCCCTCAATTTGCTAGTAATTTAGCTGTAGAAATAAGATTTTAATCAGTATATAAGATACAAGATACACATACTAAATAATAATAATGGCTACAATTTAGCAATACTTAGCAGAACTAAGCACTGTCCTAGTGCTTTTCTAAGCAGGAACTGACTCATTTAATCCTCCCAGGAGCCCAGTGAGGCAGGTGCTATGGGTTAGTGTAAAGTCTGCGTAGAGTAGACAATGCTGTGGGAGTGTGGAGAGAGGGGAGACCAGGGAAGTAAAGATACATAATGGAGCCCTGACCAGTGTGGCTCAGTTGGTTGGGCATTGTCCAGCAAAGCAAACGCTGGTTCTGTTCCCATCTCTTTAAAATTAAATAAATAAAATCTTTCTTTCTTTCTTTCTTTCTTTCTTTCTTTCTTTCTTTCTTTCTTTCTTTCTTTCTTTCTTTCTTTCTTTTTCTTTCTTTCAAAAAAGAAAGACATAAAGGAAAACTAAGGAGGAGGACTCCCCCTCTAGATTTTAAAGATCAGGAAGCCAATGGCTGTGTAATAGG